GAACTTGGGCTGCAGACAGAGACATGAATCAGCTTTCACACCATTGGAGGGGCACCCCGGCGGAAAACCAGTGGTCGTACCTTTCGGCCCTTGCTCACTATGGGGAAGAATTGCATATTAGCGCAGAGTCTGTCACCAGAGAGTTCGTGCTGCCGTAATCGTGACGTGGTTGCATTTACACAGAACGGCCAGACCCCATTGTGAGGTGACGTCAAGTCGTTTAGTGCAAAAAAAAGACCCGGGGGTATGTGGTGTGTAGCGCAAAAAAAGAAACCGGGGTTTGATGGTAAGAGGAATGAATCTATCTAGCTCGGCCGTAGAAGGCACAGTTGAGACAAACGGGAGGCGCAGAATTGTGTAACAAGGGGGGTTTCTGAGGAAGGGAAGGGAGGGAAGCAAGGGATAACGGCCTAGATAAGACGGAAAGAAGGGGAATGGTTCGTCGGACTTACTGAGGGAATCCATGCTTTCTTTTAATGCCGCTTTAAAACGTTATCACTACCTTAGTTAATTACTAGCATGTGGGTGGCATGTGGGTGCATGTGGCATGTCGCATGTGGCATCCGATGTGGGCAGTCGATTAAGGTAGTTTAGTCAGTTAGGGATAGACTCATTCCTCCCTAACCGATAATTGGGCAATTGAGACCCGAATTTCAGTTGGGTCTGCCACACTTCCCTTTTCCCAGTTCGTCAGTTTCGTTCGAGATGTGGAGGGAAGGAACCTTAGGGGAAACCACATGAGCTGACGTCGGCCCGCCAAGGATTGCTTGCTGACGGCTTTGCTTCCAATGCGTTGCTTTGCTTTGCTTTGCTTACCAGATTTAGAATAATCCCGGATTGGAATCGGGGAACCAAATTGTCCGCAGCTGCGTGGTAACGTTTGATGCCGAAGCGGGACACTACCAACGAGGTAAACCAAGCGAGCGTGATTCGGGACGAAAGCTTGTCTCCTCCGCGCGGCGTGCAGTTGTTCAATTCAGGGGATTGGATGTTCGATGCGAGGTGCCTCCTTGGAAGTGGAAACAGAGCATGGACCCACTGCGATTCAGGGACCTTCGTCCGCGTCACCGTCAAATTGCGGGGCTCGGGCTTTTTCCCAGGTTTTGAGAAGCCTCTGCCGAGATCTGCGAACGGGCAAGTGGGCTGAAGCATAACCAATTCAGGGGTTCATTTTTAGAGGGTGAGGTGCTGAGAGCAACCTTTGGTTTTTGAATGTGTATATTTCCCAACATGCTTGGGATACATGGCAGAACCTAACTCTCTCGTTCAACATCGCCATGATGGCCGTAGTAATACCAAGGTAGGTATCGTGTACATACCTAGGTAGGTAGGTAGGTAGTTGCAATGAGTGATGGAGAACCTGGAAGCTTATAGCCCACCAATGGTCTGGGCTTTAGTGTCCCCCAGCCCCACCACTACTACTGATAAGCCACTGCAAGGCACCGATAAGAGCTCCAAAAATTAATTGGCTTCATCAGTCCAGCGTCGATCGGCTATTGCTTTCTTTCTTAACAACCTCCGGGTTCAAAACAACGGCCACCTCGCGCGATCCAGAGCCCCATGTTGGCCCTATGGACGGTAAACGATCGCTGCCCCTCGGAAAGGGGACGGAGGGCAAGAAACGAAAGGATCCCCAGGCAGTAACTAAGGACACCAAATCTCGACCCCACGGTGGACGACCCACGACAACGGCGACGACGACGACGACGACCGGGCGCTCTGCGAAACGCGTCAAATTTCAGGATGCCCGCAACATCCGCACCCAGCCCTCGGATGCAGCCCTCGAAGATGGCAAGCTTGATTTGCAGAAATTCCTCAATGCCCGCGAATTCGAGATCAAGGCCCTCGAGAACAGCATGCGCAAGTGCAAGGCCGTCAATGCAACCCGCGTGTTCCAGCAAGTGCCTCGGGCCATGCGGAGGAGGACCGCAAGTCACAATGCCAAAAGGGTACCAAAGAGGCTGCGCGAGCGGGCCAAGAGGGAGATGTGGGAGGACAACACCCCAACCGTCGAGGCTAGAAAGCGCCGCCCTCGCACCACCCGGGCCCGCATCCGCGCCGAGACGGCCAAAAAGCTAGGCATCCTAGCTGCGAGGAAAAGGAAGAGGCTGCTCGAGAAAGCCGTCGCCGAAGGAACCAAGACCGCAGGAGGGTCGAAACCAACCGTGCACACCAGGCTAGCGAGACCCAAGATTCGGCGCGACATGCTCAACGAACCGCCCAAGGTCGAGTCCAAGTTTAGAAAACGACAAATGAACAAGACGTGGCTACCGACACACCTCTGGCATGCGAAGCGGGCCACCATGACCGAACCAAGCAAACCGTTGTGGCGTTTCGCTGTCCCCCTCACCCCAACCGAGAAATGCTATCGCCCAACCCATCGTGCCTCGGGCCAGAGAGGTGTAGTGGTGTGGGATATGAGCTACATGAGCACCATTGGTTTATATGGGACAGCTGAGGGTGCTGAGCGCGTCCTGAAGGGCTTGGGACTGACACAGGAAAGCGCTTGGGGGGCTAGGGGACAGAAGTGGAGGGCCGGCGTGCGGAAATGGACGGGTATTCTCAGCAAGCAGGTCAAAGACTCAAGACGGGATATCGGGCCTGCAACCATCGTCTGGAACCCCCAAGCACCCGCCCAGACCGACGATGCTATGGACTTGAGCCGCCCAAAGAAGCCGCAAAGACAGCTGTTGATTCGCACTCACCCATCCTGCTTCCTCGAGCTATTCCAGGAACTCCTTACCCTTGCGAAGATGCAAAAGCCTCGGCTTCATCTCGAGGATCTGCGCTTCGAGATCGGGAGTATCGAGCTCACCGGCCCTGCATCCACCGAGGCGCTGCTTGGCATCCTTCAACCTTACTGTGGCGAGCCAGGCAACCAGGAGCGTCATGGCCAGGTTTTCCAGTCTCTTGCCGGCGTCGCAAACCCCGCTTCCCTCCCTAGGGATGCACTTCTCGCCTTTTCGGTGCAAGACCCTCGGTTGGCGTATCCACCAAAAAGAGCCAACATACCACTGGGTGGCGGTGCTGATGGGCCTCTTGTCGAGATGCTCACAAAATGGCCGGTCGAAGAGGGTTTGAAGCCATCTGATATCTTCAGCCGGGATTGTCGATTTAAGGCCTCACAGTTGCCTTCCCAAAAATCCATCAACCGCCGGAGAGGGGCGAACGCCCCCGGAGAAACTCTCCCGGTAACCGCCGCCGACCCTCCCATTCCTGTCATGCTGCTCGCCTCGAGGCCGTCTACCGATGGACAGGCGCAAGGCACGTGGACATTATTGGCGCCGTGGAAGTGTATCATGGCCTTTTGGTATACTCTTATGCGTTGCCCCCTTTCGAGCGGCGGCAACCCCAGACTGGGCGGATTAAATGAGCAGAGACAAATCGCGTTTGAGCACGGAGCTCCGTGGTTCCCTGGCGACTTCCCAGCGACCGACGCCGGGCGCGACTGGGAACTGGAGCAGCGAGTCAAGCGAAAACAGGATTGGGATCGCCGCCCGAAGGGCAAGAGGGTCGAGTGGAGGTCGCTCGACCTGGGCGCTGGTCGGAAAGGCGAAACCGGAGACGGTTTGGCTTGCGATTTCGAACATTTGTTTGCCCTCTCCCAAACGACCAGTTCGTCGATCCCGGATGGGACCGAGATGGATATTGATCCCCCGGAACGGTCGGGAGAGTCCGCGCCCGCGAAAGTCCCCGAACCTTCAGGAGTGGCCTTGGGCTTAATTCGATGCCTATCAAAGACGGCTTTCACCTCGCTTCTCGGATTACTCAATCCAGCCAAGCCTCCTACGAACTCTATCGTCACAATTCATTTAACTTTTATCGCAAGAGGCGTCGCAAACAACTGCGCCAGGATCTACCGGTTACCTTCCCGGAAGCCAAGGATCGCCGACCCCTCTGACGACGCCGAAGTTCTCGCATCCGACCCAACGTCAACCCACTCGTCGGGATCCCTCCCTCGAGATTTGAGGGACCAGTGGCTTCGGGGGCTGCCGAACTCTTCCAGGAACAGGGGCCACGATCGTAGATCCCGATTGGGGGTGCCCCCACAGATGCCCCCCGGCATCGACATGGAGACACGCAAAAAACTCTTAGCACAATCACTCATCGCGACAGAGCTCCCTTACCCCAAACCGGCTGCCAATGAGCTCGACGTTGGCGGGCACCACCCCTTGTGTCCGGACACGGAGGACCTTCTTGGTTTTGTGACGACAGGCGCCTTCAGTCTGAGCGAGGGCAGGGGCACGGCCATTGGCTCCATCTCGGCAGAAAAGGCTCTCGAGTCGGTACTAGGGGCGGGGGCGAAGGAAGGGAAGCTCTGCATCGTCAGGAACGCGGGCGAAAATGTGGGTTGGCTGGCGAGATGGGAACTTGTTTGACGGGGTTCCGACGGCAACGGCCTGCGCTTTTTGTTGCTTCTTCTCCAGTGACAAATGGCTCAAGCTTTGTCTAACCAACTAACCGAGCGCCTCTTTCGGTTGGCGTTCCTTGACGAGAGGACCTGCTGGGTTGGGATTCCAAGCCATTCCAAACGACAGGCAGCACAAACAATTATTGCTAAGCAGCAGTTTGGTGACCGTTCCCGATTTCGCTCGGCCTCGCAAATTCGATGCCGCAAATGGAATGTCCGGAATCCACCGACGACGCCAAATCGCCTTACGCGTGGGGCCATGGCTCGATCATTTTTCTCGGCGATATTCCCCGAGAGGGAGCTGGTGAACGGTTGCAGGCAGGGCTCGGACGCTGCGAGTCAAGAAACAGGGTTGATCCCTATCAAACTGACTGGAAAGCCGCCTCCTGTTTGTGATGAGAAGCAAGGGTTATCTATCATATACTGACTGATTACTGCGTAACCTGACGGTGAGAGAGTGAACTTCTCTGGATTCCGGGCTGCGTTTGGCTGATGGTGCGAAAGTGCTGCAGTTTGAAACAGATCCAAGCTGCTACAGCATATGGTACACCCCACGTACGGTCCGATCTGTAGTTTGGAGATCGTAATACCGTCTCGGGCAATCAAAAGTGACACATTCTCCCTTCGTCCACCCAACCTGAGCCAACCCAAGAACTCGCCCACCCAACTTGTCACCTTGTCGCCTTGTCACATTGACATTGCAAGCTCCAACCCACTGGGTCTCCTGCACCTCCGTCACTTGTGGAACAAGGATGGCGACAAGCCAATCATGGCTTTTTGTTTCCTGCAGCCACGGTCGATCACTCCCGGGGGCTCTGATACATCCCCCCATATCACTGCATAGAGATTGGTCGTCAGCATCACGATCGCTCTCGATCGCTCCACATCCCGGGCGAGATAACTGACTGCGCCGTCTCGGTGGATCTCAAATATGAAGAAGTCGCGGCAGCACGGTGCATACTTTGATCCTCCCTCCCTTGTTCGAGACCCCGGTGGAGATCGGATCTGACTGGTCCGGGTTTCGGTTGCTCGGGCTGCCCTTGTACATGACCTGTCTCCAGTTCTCGGGGTTTTTGCGAAGCGGCAGGTTGGGGGCGCAACGGCAGGGCTGCAGGCCGAAAGAGGTGGCGTTGCGGCAGCAAACAGCTCCCCGATGGCCCGGATGATGTGCCTTTTACAAGTCGACGGTCCGCATCACCCCGGGTGCCTTTCGTTCCATGTACTTTTCTGTTAGGACCCGGTTGCTTCACTCACCTAGACCGAGACGACTACTCATCCATCACATACGACTGTTGAGACTGCTCGTACGAGTCTGTGGAATTGCCCACATGATTACCCCAGCACCGAGGAGTAACATTATCTGGAACGCCCATCTCAGACCATTCATGTGAAGGCGACCACCGGCCTGACTGAGCCAGCCTATCGCAACCGCAGCCACCCGCCTGCCGACCCTCTCGACCGGTCAGCTTCATTCGATTGGGAGCACTCACACACTCACGTTACGTTACACAGACCGGTTCTGGTCCTGCATTGTGCTTGTGTAAAAACAGACACATACTTTTTTTCTGATACCCAAATCCGGCGCTACTTTCTGGTCTCTCCCTTTGACCTTCCGTCCCCCTTACCTCTCGGAGTCGTCCCGACCTCTTGCAGAGGACCAGCTTCACTCACCGGCCTGGGTCGCGTCACTTGTGGAGCGTAGGGCAGCAGCCGCCTTGGCGAGATCAGCCAAGACAGGCCTCACTGGGCCTGGTCAGACAGAACCCCCCCTCCCCCCCTGTCCACTTCTGGACGGGACGAACCCCGACCGAGCGATAACGATAAACACCTGCCCGCCCTCGTCGGCCCCCCTCCGGTCGTATGCCTCACGACAGCGTCCGCGTCCGTGTCCCGACGCCATCACACCCCATACCAGGTCATGTCTCTCAGGTTCCCGGCAGACACACGCTTGACGGCCCGGGAGTCGCTTCGACCGTCGATCGACTTGCACTGGCTGCCGTGACATCCATGGCGGCTCGACGCTCGATGCTGTTGCCCAGCTCCGTCGACGGCCGGACCGGACTGCCCGAACTGAAAGATGCGGAGTACGTCCGCGAGGTTTTGGGCCGCTCCGATGGCGCCACCGAGTCGGATATCGAGCAGGAGCTGGTCTCGAGGGCGGCGGCACTCCGGATTGACCTGCCAACGCCACGACGGCCCAGCACACAGGACCACAGGATCGCCGCTGGCCGGTTCCTTGAGACGCCCCCTTTACAACATAGCCGGCCAGGTTCGGCGGTCTCGGCTAGGACCGCACAGAGTATCATGACGTCGCGGACAGCAGACCAGCCGCCAGCGATAGCGACGGCAACGGCGATCGCTGGCCCACTGCCAGAAGTTTCGACAAAGAGAAAGTCCAGGTCCCTCAGCTTCTCCCAGTACGAAAAGTATATCAGCCAGGTTGATCCTGCGCTGATTCAGCTTAAGCTTCCCAGGCGAACCCCTGTTGAGAGGGCGGAATGGACAGGAGGGGTCCTGGTGAAATCGAGGACAAAAAAAGGAGTCAGGGGCTTCACCCGGAGCATCGCGGCTAGGCTGAGGGGGAGGAGGCCGAGCCCGAGCTTGCCCATGTAAGTGTCCCAAGGGACCAGCCCCTGCGGAAACAGACCTGCTAACGCGACCAGGCCTTGTGTGTGCTGCCGCGAAGATTTCACGACCGACAGCAATACCTTACACGCGCTTCCGTGCGGCCACTATTACTGCCGCGACTGCCTGGCCGTCATGGTAGAGCAGTCCATGCTGGACGAATCGAGAATGCCGCCGAGGTGTTGCACCCAGCCCATCCCGAGCGCCATCATCAAGGTGGTCCTCACGGCCGAGAAGCAGGACCAGTTCCTCAAGGCCGTGCTGCAGTACAACACGCCCTGGGAGGCGCGCATCTTCTGCCCCAACACGGCCTGCGGCAAGTTCATCCCGCCCGCCGACAAGATGGACCCCAAGCACCCCTTCGAGGCGCTCTGCCAGGCCTGCCGGACGCAGGTCTGCCTCCTGTGCAAGCGGCACGCGCACGAGCTCGGGCAGGACTGCCCCGAGGACCGCGACAGCGACGCCGTGCTCAAGATGGGCGAGTCGTCGGGCTGGCGCCGCTGCTACAAGTGCCGGTCGCTGGTCGAGCTCGCCCAGGGCTGCACCCACATCACCTGCCGCTGCAAGGCCCAGTTCTGCTACATCTGCGGCGCCGTCTGGGACCAGTCCGTCGGGTGTCCCAACTTTTGCAACGGCGAGGAGGAGATGGAGCGGCGGCGCGCCGAGGAGGAGGCCCGGCTCGCGGAGCTGGAGGCTGAGAAAGTGGCGCGGGAAAAGGCGGCCGAGGCGGAGGAGAGGGCGAAGGAAGAGGCCGAGAGGAGGACGCGCGAGCATCCCGAGTTCAAGGCGCTGCGGGCGCGGCAGGAGGCCGAGATGGCCAGGTTCAACGAGTATGAGCAGAGGGTGAAGGACGCGCTGCAGACACGACAGCACCGGGAGAAGGTGGCGCTGGGGGATAAGTATGCGGACCTTATGCTCAAGATGCGCGACCGCCACGCCAAGACGGAACAGCACCTCGAAGACCGCCAGGTCTTGGCCGAGATCAAGCTGCAGGCCAGCCTGGAGGAGAAGGAGAAGCGGGTGCAGATTAAACTGAGGCACATGGAGGACTACTGCAACGGCAAGGCCACCCTCCCGCTTCCTGGCGAGCAACAACCACAACAACAACCACAACAACAACCACAACAACAACCACAACAACAACCACAACAACCAGAATCACAGTCACAACCACAACCACGCCCACCATCATCACCACCACAACAACCAGACCCCCAACAATCAACCACCACCACCACCACCACCACCACCCCCAACCCCCCCACCCTCCCCCACCGCCTCGTAACCTCCCGCGACCTCGAACAACTCCGCCAACAATACTTCCTCCGCGACGGCATGGCGCGCCGCCACCAGTCGCAAATCCACGGCCTCCGCGAAAAACAAGCCAAGCGCATGGAAGAGCTGGTCGCGCGCCACGAACTCGAAACGGAATCCCTCGCCGCCCGCCGCGCCTCCGAGCTGGTCGCGCTGGTGGTGCAGTTCGCGAACGCGGACGAGGCGCTGCTGCGCGCCTTTGCGGGGCGGAGGGAGCGGTTGGGGAGACGGTGGAGGTTGGAGGTGCGGGTGTTGAAGGCGGAGGTCCAGGGGCGGGAGGGGGGGCTGTTTGCGGAGGGGGAGGTGCCGGTTTTGGTGGGGGAGGGGGGGGAGTGGGAGGGGGAGGAAGGAGGGGTGTTGGGGTTGGGGGAGGTGTTGGATTTTGGGGGGGTGGGTGGTGATGATGGGGGGTTTGGCTGTGGGGATGGGGGTGGAGATGAGTTGGTGGTGTCAGATGATGTGCGGTTGTTGGGGTGTGATGCACAGTCGGTGGTGGTGTGAGGCCGGGTTGCGGCCGGGACGGACGGATGGCTCTTGTTCTTGTTCTTGTGTTGTTTTTGCTACCCTTCTTCTTTCTTTACGCCATTCTACCAGAAGCCGTGGTGGCTGCTCCTCATCACACTTTTTTCTATCTCTTGGAGGGGGGTTCCATATGTCGGCATATCCATCGCATGGGATGAGCGGTGTCAATACCAGGACTAGGGCGGGGCGGTAGGGGGCAAAGGGTGGGTGGGTTAAGGTGCTCCCCGTGAGTTTCAAGGTTTTCTTTTGTTCACCTATTATCTCGCACCCCTTCTCGCGGTCATCTCTTCCTCCACGATACTTGTTTACCATGGCCCCTTGGGCGGCCGGACACACCATCGATCTTTTCCTTATGTTGGGAGGGGAGAGGAAGGAAACAAGAAAACATACACGACTTTGTCATGAATATGTTGGGGGCGGGCATGGGATGGGACTTGGAATCATTGAGCTACCTATCTGCCTGCCCATTGCTGTACTATACCATGCTGCGAGGGAGAGGGGCAGACGAACACAGACGGGCTGACAGGAAGGATATCATCTCAAGTCAGGCACACTAGGTAGATCAATTTTACTAGGCGTACTCTTTCTTGGTTCACACCACTTTAACTCGGCTTCTGTCTTACCTATACGTATCTACATATCGCGGTGATCACAAACGCAACGCCACGCAACAAGGAAGGATGCCAAGCCGGTGGCTGTCGTGTCGACACGCTCTCCCAGGGCCCTTGCCCTTGCACGACCACTCCACCGGGTCTCAACTGTCGTCTCGATGCGACGATATCCCTGGCACGGTGGTAGCGTGCGGGTATCTGTGTCTCGGCCTCATTGCTGGGTCGGGGGCCGGAGTTTACTCCTTGCTGAAAGCCAGGAGAACAGAACAGATCAAGTTATGGATGAAAGCCAAAACGCCATCTGTTCACTAACCTATGTCCTAGAGAAACCGGAAGCCGAAACCACAAAGTCAAGCAAGTCCTGCGGTGAGAGACAAGAAAAACCATCTGCTTGCTTGCTGACCGGAAAGGAAAGGCATGATAGCAACTGTCTGAGCCCCTTTTCCTCACTGTTCCTAGGAAAAAAACCGCCCAGTTTCCCAGCTCAATTCCATGTCCCCCCCTTCCAACATAACCCACCCCCTCGTCAACTAAAAGATGGAATTAACAATATTACTCCCGATCGTGGCGCCCGCCCCAAAAATCGCCGCATTCCCCAACTTCTTCCCGATATTCTTCCCGTGCTTCCCCATCTTACTCTCTCCCTCACCCTCCCCTTCCTGCGGCTGGTGCTGCGGCTGCGGCTGCCCCGGCGGCGGCGCGGCCGGATATCCCTGCACGGGCACCGGCGCCATGGGATACTGCGGCTGCTGATACTGCGGCTGCTGCCCATACGGCTGTTGATACGGTTGCTGTTGCTGTTGCTGCCCCCACCCCGGCGCCCTCTTCTCCTCCGCCGCCACGGCGACGACATAACTCCTCGGAAAGATGCCCTCCTGGCCTGTGCGCAGATTCCTTCCCATCCACCAGTCCGCGTTCATGTACTCGTACACGGCGATGCGGTCGTCGCGCTCGAAGGAGCAGTCGCGCGCGTCGCTAGCCGCATAGCGGTAGAGGGCGCGGGCGTGGGTCAGGACGGGCTTCTCGGGGGCTTGCGGGGTGTGGGGCGGGGGGGTTGTTGCGGTGCGGGAGGGCGGGCGGGGAGGCGGTGGATTGGGCGTAGGAGGGGGGTGCTGGGGTGGTGTTTGTGGTGGTGGTGTTGTTGTTGTTGCGAGGGGGTGGGGTGGGCAGGCCTGTGGACGAGGGCGCTGGGGTTGGGTTGTTGCTGCTGCTGCTGCGGGCGGCGGGGCCGGAGAGGGAGGCTTCGGCGGGGAGGAGGGCGTGGATGGAGTCGAAGGCGTTGTCGGTGATTACGCCCTTTTCGAGGAGGTTCTCGAGTTCCTGGAAGGTGGGATGTTAGCGGGACATTGCCGGTTGGGAGGTAGTATGGTATTAGAGGAAAGACGGGATGAACTTGCAGTCTTGATCAGACGGAGAGACCGGTTGGTCTCCATGACCCGCTGGCGAGCTTCTGACATGGTTGGTTGCCTTATGATGTCGCTGGGGGAATTATGCAGTCGTTGGAAAGAGAGCGGCCGCTATTTCGACCTATCGATGTGGTGCAATGGGAGAGCAAATGGACG